AGTACAACATCTATTTCATGTAAGTGTTTTGATTTGTCTTGATTGCATTTTATTATCCTAGACTGTTCATTTGCATTACAGGTAGTCCTCAACTTACGACTACAGTTGAACCCAAAATTTATGTTGCTAAGTGAGACAGATATTAAGTGGGTTTTGCCCCATTTTATGATCTTTCTAGCCCCAGTTGTTAAGTGAATCACTGCCGTTGTTAGTGACAAAGTTGTTAAGTGAATCACTGCCGTTGTTAGTGACAAAGTTGTTAAGTGAATCTGGTTTACCCATTGCTTGTCAGGTCACAAAAGATGATCACGTGACCCCAATATACTGCAATTAGCATTCATATGAGCCAGTTGCCCAATCATCTGAATTTTGATCACATAACCATGGGGATGCTGCAACATTGTAAGTGTGAAAAATGGTCAAGTCACATTTTTCAATGTCATTATAACTTTGGCCACTAAATAAATTGTAATTTAAGGACTACCTTTTATATTGTTTCAACTGTATATGCTAACGTAAGGATCGAAGTTGACATGTGGAGTTTACACAGAATAGAAGTGAAATTTAACACAAATAAACAAATAAGTTTTTGAAAGTGAACGTTAACCTGCAGAGTAAAGGCAACGTACCTTTGTTAAATCTTTCAGCTCTGTTTAGTTTCTATCCCTTCTGGCTCTAAGACAGAATGAAGACATAATTTACTGCTTTTGTAATGATGTTGCTTCTAGCACTTTCTCTGTCTTACTGTTTTCAACCAAGATTATTCATGCCTTGAAACCAAAATATAAATTCTGCTGTTCTAAATGGAGTGCTAAGAGCTGCAGGGATTTGTCTTAACCGTCCTTGCTCTTAATAATTTTCCATTATCTCCCTCTTCCTAAAGAACAGGATTCAGCCAAGAATGTCTCATTATAATGGATGATATAGACATGTGTCACTGGTGCTAATCCTGAATTAATACCAATATTACAGTACTTCCTATAGAAGTCATAGTAATGAGGATAAATCTGCATTCATTTTTAGCTTACATAGTGTTTTTCCACAATATATTATCAGCTGAATATTCACACGTGTGCAGACAAAATTACTTGTTAGTGTCTGAAATTCATACTTGCCTGCTATATACATGGTTACTCTACTATTTTCTGTCCGTCCAGTCATGGATGAAAATACCTCTCTGTTTTTGAACTTGTTATTATTACTATTTTTACTATCAGTTTAACTGTACAGTTTATTTTAGTGGTTAAAAAGTTATAAAAATTGCACTTAAATTAATTTTTCCATGAAGAGAAACAGAACCAAGGAGCCAGGTCTCCATTCAAAAGGCTGCCGTTTTACACTTTGATCTTTGCCTTGCAGCTAGCCGTGTGACGGGAGAAACCACCGTCCTTCCCTCCGTCGTCTCTATTTCCGAATCTGTCACGGAAATCACAGCCAACAGCTTTGTGGTCTCTTGGGTTTCTGCCTCGGACACCGTCTCAGGATTCCGTGTGGAATATGAACTGAGCGAAGATGGGGATGAACCTAAATATCTTGGTAAGGAAGAGAGCCGATCTGATGAGTCACAGAATCAGATGGCATAAATAAATTTAATCGCTCACTTCCTAAAGTTCTTATCTTGTAGAGCTAGCCCGGATAGTATTTGCTATTCAGACTCCAAATCCCATAAGCCTGAATCTGAAGGTTCATAGAACTTCTTGAATGTATATTCAAGTACATTTATGGCCTGCAGTCCTTCAAAAGCAGCGCTTCAGAATATGTAAATCCAGAATCAACGCATCTCTCTCTAGATCGCTAATTAAAAGGGGTTTGGTGCTCTTGTCTTGAAAAGGTTAGAATGCAGTTTTGCAGGCAAACAGCTTGGAGTTTGATTCTGGCAGGGCTCAAGGTTGACCAGNCTCAACAGTTGCTCACTCTGATTCATCCTTAGGTTGCCTAACAGCCCAATTAGTTTTTCTGTAGTCTCTCATCTCATTCGCACACATCCAATCTTGTACCTAACAACAAGTTTTTTTAAAAAAATCTTCAATAACATTCATTCAGAATACTGAATTTTTCCAAGAACATCTTTCTAGTTGATCTTCCAAAATCACCATTGACTGGGACTTAATATGCAACTAATATAAAGAAAATTAATAGATTACAGAAAGATGCCCAAATAAGGCCACATAATTTCCAGATGGCAGCAAAGAGATACAGAAAAGTGCTACCATCTCACCATCCCTTGATTTTTTTACAATCCAAATCTGTAGGCACCAATGCTGGTAAAGCTTTGTTCTGAGGATTAATTTATAAAAAACACAAGTGGCTTTGAAAAAGCATTTACTTATTTATGTGTTCTTACGTAACAGCAGCTCTCAACTGGGCGCCAGTTCTTAGTATTTATATTGAAGTGCAGCTTCCCTCCTCCCCATAGAGCCTTCGTTCTAAGCAAATATTAATACATAGTTTAAGTAAACACCTGTTTTTCCTTTCCTACCACTTTCCTGTCAGTTGTCTGGGGGACCAGCTCTTAAAACAAGAGGAAAGAATAAGATTTAAAAGTCCTACATACAGAGTCCTAATTTTTGATGCCCAGACTCATTGGCAGGAAAGATGATAGACCTTTCATTTGCGCCTCTCCCTTAATCAGTTTGGCTACAGATCTCATTGCAAAGGTGTAACTAAAAGTGAAACGTTTTGTGAAAACCTGTTGAGGAAAATCAGGATATTCTACTGGTAGCCCAGTAGAAGCCCCGTTAAGAGGCAGCAAGCAAACTAAACTAATGAGGATAATCTTAATTTTAGGCTCCGCTGGTCACCCTGTGCAGGTGATTGTCACAGATGTCCCAATTCAACCCGATTCCCATCCTATCCAGTGGATTGCACCCGAGTCCTCTCACGTTTCCAATTATATCCTTCGCTGGAAACCGGTAAGCCTTTTTGTCATATATTAATCAACTTTTTCTTAATTCAGAATTTCTTATAGATTTATATTTACAATTCAACTAGATCATAAATCATTTTATTTCTAAGTTTAGATTTATGTTAATACTTGGCAGTGCTTTCTAACTTGGCTAAGGACATACTCTGTGTGTTGCAAAGGATTGGGCAGTGTGTCAGGATTGATGGATAAGATGCCTTAAAAGAACCACCTCCTTTTCTGGACCTGTATGTCTCCTCTATAAGAAGGTTGGTTCTTGAAGCAAGTAACAGAATTTATAAAGCAAGCTTATATTATTTATAGTGGGGACATGGTGGTACAGTGGCTTAATGATGCAGTGGGATTGCTGACAGGGTGAGTTCCAACAGCTCGCTCCTTATTTAAAAATAAATACATAATTCATTTTCAACAAAGCCCCTTGCCTGGAATAGGAATAGGAATAGATGCTGCGTTTAATTGCATCAGGATTGGGTGTTACATTCATTTCTCTCTCTCTCTCTCCTTCTGGATTTATGATATTTTGGTCCTTGAGCTGTGCATATTTTTTATCTTACAGCATATGTATCCCTTTCTTTTCTTGTTTTTCTTTTGAGAAAATCGTGTATTGTATTCTAATTGAGAAATTATCTTATATCTCATTTTCAATTATTGTCTCATTTGCCATACTTTACAAAGAGTATAAATTCAATTTTATCCATTTTTGACTGTTACTAAAGGTGTTAATGAATTCTTCATTGGCTTTTCATTGGGTGATTTAATAAGCTCTATTTTAGTCACATTCCTGTATTTTAGGATAGAAGAACGCTTGTCTGCAGTCAGATTTTAGGGCTGTTTCAGTTCTCACAGGATTCAGTGGAAAGCTTTCCTCCACAAATTTGTTATCTCTAGCTAAACTCTCTTTTACCAATCTTTGTGAGATGCCACCAATTTGTCCATCTTCCAAATAACTCACTTTGCAGTCCCAGAAATCCATTTCTCCCCCGCTTCCACTGAAGTGTATTTTGAGTTTGAAGACAAGAATTAGTATTTGTTCTGTGTTTTTGCAGATGATTTTTTGTTCTTTTCTAAATATTATTGCTAAAATAATCTGATAGAAATTAAAGCTATAATCAATAACCACAATAGGAAGAAACATTGTGGCTTTTGGTTGATGTCATGGCGAGAACGGCTGGAAAACATGGCCTGTGCCATTCCTTGGGAAATCCAGCCAGTAACTACTGTCAGGAGACCCTATGGGTTCCTAGCTGCCTTGTAGGGGTGGTGAAGGAAGGAGAGACACTACAATGATCATGAGGAACTCACAATCTCCTCTTTAGGTCCAAAGCAAACTCTCCCAAATAGTAGCAGGGACGATGGCCATTTTTGGCTGTTACAAAGCCGGGACAACCAGGACTGTAAGATTTGTGTTGGAGTGGATTGTGTACAGAGCATTGAAACTGGGTGAGATAATTACCAACTTTTACTATAAAGACCTGATTTAAGTAAAAATAATTTTAAAAGAGAACTTCTAAATCTAAGTGAGCGGCGATTAAATACAGAGAGGAAAAAATAATCAAAACTGAAAATCAAGAGGTGAAAGAAGGCCAAGGGAAGCTTTAAAACACAGAAAGCCTGAAAAAAAGTTTAAACAATTGGAAAGGTGATTTTCAGGAGAAACTGACTTGCTTATTTGTATTTCTCAACCCCCTGGATTTCTCGGATAATCAGCTATTTTTTCCTCTCTGTGTATTTAATCGCCGCTCACTTAGATTTAGAAGTTCTCTTTTAAAATTATTTTTACTTAAATCAGGTCTTTATAGTAAAAGTT